GAAATAATCGGTGTATGTAGCGACGTCATTAGAGACGACATCACTACTGACATAAAGAAAGCATGTGTTTACAGTATCCTGGCAGACTAGAGCAGTGACATATCAGGGAAAGAGCAACTTTCCATTGGGGTTAGATTTTTTGACGAAGAAAAGATGATGTTTGTGTGGTATTTCTAGGTTTTGTGCAGTTGATTGACATGGATGCAAAATCTGTAGCATCTGCAATTAATAACTTTATAGAAAAGGTAGGCTTGATATAGAAAAGTGCGTCGGACAAGGATACGATGGGTGTTCCACTATGGCAGGAAATGATGGTTGTAATCAGAAAATTTTTCGAGAAAAGTATACGAGATCGTTATACTTTCACTGTGCTAGTCACAAACTGAACTTAGTTGTAAACGACTTAAACGAAATAGCAGTGATACGAAATACGGTCTCCACAATAAAAGAAATAATAAGATTTTTCCGAGAATCGTCCCTTCGTCGAAAATGCATACCGAATATACCAATGCTCTGTGAAACCCGTTGGTTTAAAAATTATAAAAGTATCGCCACATTCAATTAAAATTATGCGCAAATCGTTATGGGGCTTGAAAAACTATCAACAGGCGGTAACAATGCAACGAGAAAAGCTGATTTTCAAATGCATTGCGCTGCAACAAAATCAGAATTCATTGTTAGTGTTTGTCTCATAGCAAAATATTCAAAGCTCGTGCAACCGGTAGTAAATGCTCTTCAGTCAAAAAGTGTGGACTTACTTCAATGTGCAAATCACATAAAAAATCACAGATATCACGAGAAAACATCGTTGAAAGTCAGTGTTATAGCAGAGGCTGAAACAATTGCCGAGCATCTTGGAACATGTTTCAATATGTCGCGAGTCATAAATCATCAGAAATATCGTGCGAATCCACCAGTACAGACTCCCAGCAAGTTTTGGAGAAGATCACTAATTATTCCGTACATAGATTCATAGAGAAAATCCTGACTACGCCCTTAATTCATCGTGACATTTTATTCATATTTTAAATAAAAATTAAATTTTACGAACATTATAAGGAATTAATATATGTAGAAAACTGATTAGTTTTAAAATTTTTATTTGTAATACACAAAATATTTGATTTGTTACATATTCCACGCCAAATTTTGCCATCACTGTGATAAAATATGTTTACGAAATTCCTCAGTTCATTTTTTAAAGTTATACTATTTATCAAAAGTAATTAAATTAAATTGTTAAGAATTAATAATAATCGTACAGTCACGTGATTTGTTAGAAGTCAAATATAAAATACATCAAATGTTATGACGAGAGTGCACAGTAATGCTACTTTTGGCAGAAAGATGCTGATTGGATGGTTTAGGAAAAACGTCACGACTGAAATTACCATTAGGTGAACCTTCTAGACTCTAGAGTCTAGAGTCTGGACAGTCTCTGGTCTTCTCTGGTCTCGCGTCTCTCACAAGCCGGTCGCTGATTGGCAAATCCAAATGATTAGCCAATCAGCGACCGGCTTGCGAGAGACCAGAGACGGTAACCAGAATACGACCCCTGAGGTGGGAAGCATTTTTGAGCCTGAGTGCCGTATAGTAAGTATACCTAGCTTTAAAGACGTTTATGCGTGCCAAAGTTTTAGACTTCAAATAACGATATTTAAAGAAATAAACGAATGTGCTTTAATTAGAATAAATGTAAAAAAAAAAATCTGATTGAAAAGAGGATGATCAGTCCATGCCTATAGTCCATGTTAGGATTATTTCAAAAACACTGATTAGGATTATTTCAAAACACTATTAAGGTTGAAAATAAATAATTTAACTTACGGATTATAATGATAATGACGTTTATTATGATTTGAGAAAGATCCTAATGTTTCCTTTAACGTTATTAAATGCAGAAATCAATGTGACAATGTGTCTCCTGAGAGAGTTGACAGTAATCCCAATGGAGCCGTAAGACTAATAACAGTGTTGGGCAATATATTTCTAATCTTATTAGTGTTATTCGATAGAGAAAAGCTTTCGCCTATCTAAAAGAACATACTGTAGTATAACCTATATGTTAATAAAGTTTACTTCCTTATACTACAAGAAAATAAATGTCATTATGGGTGCCCGCAGAAAATTTTCCAAGGGGGAACAAAGCTTGGAGACAAATAATTACATAAATAAATTTTTATTTTATTATTTATTATTATTTTTTTTTTGGTTTTCCACAAATAGAATATAGAATACAATATTGCATCAATACAAAACGACAGACAAAGCATCCCGTGACGAGGGTATAAGGTTAGGCTACATATCTCAATTACTATTACGATTATAATTTGTGAAATTATAATCGTAATAGTTTGCTCACCCTCTGCCACGCCCACGAAAGTCGTACTATTTTACGATTACGATAACGTAACTTTATTATATATTATATCAATAGATATGTCATGATGATTCTTTCAGATCATTTCTAGATGCGCGAAGTTTCATAATTATTACAGAACAAGTAAGCATATTTATTTTCAATTAAAAACAATCATTTTTTAAAATTAAAAATAACAATACTACAGTGTAGAAAATAATTTCTTAAATGCTTTTTATTATGACACTTTAATATTTTATTTGAGCTAATGCGTGATGTTTTGCATGATGCATATTGTACAACAGATTGTTTTCAGTTTATAGAGGGTCGTTGATGTGCAGTAGTTAACCTTTACGCATCCGTGAACATTTGTTCGTAAAACTTATAGGTTATTTCATTTTTTTAAGGCTGTCCGTATGAAATATATATATATATATTTTTTTTTTCAGTAAGAATTATCCTTAAAATGAATATTAACTTTGTAGGAAGTTAAAATGTTTTATATGTAGTGTAGATCAAGGTAGCTGCACTTGTTGAACATCTATTGTCACATCGTTGATTGAAATCTTTTAATTTGCTCTGGATACTATCCATGCATCGTCGAGTTTGAATCAGCTGTTGACGTTTTTCACGTTGATAAAAATGATGGTCATAAAGATTAAATATTATGCATTTTTTTGTTAATTCAGAATGTTCTGATTTATATACATTTAAAAAATGCTTACCACATTGAATATATCAAAATATAGCTTACAATATGTTATTATAAGCTATGAATATGACTTACAACTAGCAATAAAATAAGTAAAATATTTTTTATATTTTGAAATTTGAAATAATATCTATAATTTCCTATCGGAGGTTATTATTATTTTTTTTTTGTTGTTATTGTTTTATTTATGCTTCCCATTCTTCGTCATACTTTATGACAGAAACGGAAACATAAATTAAAAATTTTATGGATAAGACCGGATTGTCCAGTACTAAGAACTTATACACATATAGTATGTAGCAACTACTGTATATGTATGCTAAATACTGTATATGGAATAAGTTAATTTAAATATTATAGCTGCATCATTCGATTTATGAATAAACGGGTATAAATATAAAATTTAATACACTAACTGTCAACTTGATAATTCTTAATAATTTCTTAAGCATTTAAATTTTATTTATTTATAAAGTTAAAAAGCTAATTAATTATATTTTATGTTAAATTACATAGTAAATAAACTTGTTTTTGAGAAATTTTTATTTTATATTAAGAAGTATTATAATTGTTTTGTTTATTTTAAATATCAATAAAATATTAATATTAATAGAATTTATTTTTTCAAACTGCCATTGGTAAAACATAAATATTCGAAAATAAATTATTGATATATCATAAATGCTATCACATTAAAAAATTAAAACTAAGCATTTTACACAGCTTTAAACAGTATAATAAAAGTATAATAATTGTTTTATTCATTTTAAATATTAATATTTAAAGTAAACAAAAAACCTATTATTATACTTTTAGTTTTTATTTATAAATTACATTTATTTTATGAAAATAAACAGTGAGATCTACCAAATGAGATCAATTTAACTATTTTACACTTTAATTATGATTTCCCCTTTCCATGATTTTGAATAAACACAAGTAAGATGTTTTTTAATAACAGAAAATAGCTTTACACGATGTTAAACCTTAAAATTAATTATATATATTTAATGAAAAAATAAAGTGAATTTTTTAAAGTTACAGTTCATTACAAATTTATTTAAAATTGATTTTAAAAATGCGTTTTTATATTTAAAGATCTTAATTAATCTAAGAATTCAGTTATAGCTGTAAATTCTGTAATTTTTCCTTTTAAAGAATTTTAAGAAAAATTTTTAATAAGTTAGATTTAAAAATAAATAAATTGTCAGTAATTTACTTTTTGTTATTCACGTATAAATATATATTCACAGAATACTATATCATTAATACTATTAGTAACTACATTATTAAATAATATATAATTCTCTACATACAAAGTGTTGTCTGCATGTATTTAAATATTTATATTTAGATAAGTTAATTTTCTAAAAAACATTCTTTTGAACATCATTTTACAATTTTTTAATATATTTATTATTAATAATACATTTTAATATCATAAATAATTTCTTTTATTTAAAGTAAAATAGTTTAAATGACTAAATGCCATAAAAATTACTTTAAAAATCTAATTAGTGTATAATCACATTAAAATCTATGAAAAAAAAAAATAAATAAAGCGTCGTCTTTTGTGTATTCGTCGTCAGTACCATTATTGATTTCACTAATGGATTTTGACTTAACTATCGACAGTTTTCGGGGTTTAAAATTGATCGTTTGAACTATGGAAAGTAAACGTGAGTGACGCATAAGTATAATAACTATAGGTGCGGTCGTTGTATATAATACCCTTATTTTAAAATATTGATATACGAAAGACAAAAACAAAAATTATTTTCATTTGTTAAATTATTAATAAGTTCCATTAAAATCTATAAAAGAAATATAAAATTTCGAATTACTTCAACGAGTAAAATAAATAGAAAATAAAAATGATATAAAAATAAAACATTTAATCGATATAATTCTTATTAAATTTCTCGCCAGGTGTCGCAGAATCGAAAATCGGGGCGTTGTTGCTTTTTTGTTACCTGTTCTAGAGTTACCTGGATCACACCTGGATGTACGTGGAAGTCTAACCGAAAAAGAATCGATGGCAGTTATAAAAATTTTTCTCCTTTTATTCGTCATAACCATTTTAATAGAAGGTTAGTATGTGTATATGATTTGTTATAAAATGTTTAAAAAAAAAATCAATTTAACGCGATAAAACGCATTATTTTCTTCATAAACACGAAGCGTTGTCAAAATATGAAATCATTTGAATTATAGGAAAAAATATTTGCTTATTTCAAATTTCAAGTTTCATTGCTGTTAAATGATTTCCTTATTTTTTAAAAAATTTTGTTTATCTGTTAACATAATTTAAAAAATCGACTGGTTGTATGCTGCTTTACCGTTTTTCTCCTCATATCCGTTAGTTAATTCGGCAAAATATTATTTTTCTTTATTTAAAAAATCATCATTTCATATTTTTTCTTATTAAAAATGCTAATTAATCAATTACAAACACATAAAACACGTGTTATTTGAAATTGATTATTTTCTAATAACTCGTGTTTTGGTAAAAAAAAAAAATAATTTTTTCCAAAATTCTAACAATTTTATTACAATTTATTATGCTTATTATTATTATCTTTATATTATTTGTGTCAGTTTCCAAATTTCACATTCTTTTAGGCATTTCTAAGTAAATTACAAAAAAAAATCTAAATTTCTTTTCAGTTTTTTATTGAGAATGCACAATTTTATGTTAAATTTAATTTTGGGGAAATTATATCTTTATAATTTTTGAGAATTATAAATAGAGAAAAATTAATCTGTGTTATTTTCTTTAAACTCTGCTAAATTGAAAATGTTATTAAATGTTTTAAAATGTGCTTTATTTATTTATTTTTGTTTTTTTAATTGTGAATATGCAGTGTTTTGAAAATGAGGATTATCTCAAATTATTTATTATAGCATTAAATATATTAAATGATATATTTAATGCTATTGTTAAAGTAAGGTATACATTATGGCATTTAAATTGATTTTTATTTAAAACATAATTATGAAAAATAAATGGGTGACAAATCTTTAAAACACTAATCATCTAATGTATTTTAAAATTTAATATTCATACTTTTATGATTCATGAGACTTTAATTAGTACATTTATATAATTGATAACTTTTTAATATCTTCAAAAGGTAATACAGTAGTAAATGTTTCAAATTATGAAAGCTTATAGAACTTGGCACTATCCTTTGTACCATTTTTTGTACCATAAATAATCAGCACAAATTTCAGGAAGTCTCATATTATTATAAACTATTAAATATGTCGGATGAGATGGTCAAATTGTAACAAAAAAATGTTTATTTTAATTAATAAAAGTTGGCTTCCTGAAATTGGCAGTTATTATATATTTATTTAGAAATATTTTAAACAGTTATCAAATATTTCCAAACTGCTGAATTTCTGATATTATTTTAATAATTATTTTTCCTAATTGTTGTTAGATTATTCCAGTTTCAAAAACTTCATATTTAACAGATTTTATTTAACTACCATAAATATATATTTTTTAATATTAACTAATTTCATGTAAAATAATTACTTTATAAACTTAATTTTTGAAAACAGTATAAACAGAATAAATGAAAAATATTGAATATATTAAGAAATTTTTAATTATACTTTTAGGTGTTTATATATTTAATTGCATGCTTAATGATAAATTAATTTGTTTGATTCTAAATTATTAATAGAATTTGTTATCTAATAAGTGAAGTAATTATAGGCTATCTGTCTAGGGACAGATTTGTTTGCTATCTGTCCAGGGACAGATTTGTTTGATCATAAATTACTGTATTTCTGTAATTATTAGAAAATAATTAATTCCAATAGTTTGATTCAATGTTTACCTTCAATATATAGTTTTTGTTGTAAATTGTTTTCAGTTTATCATAGTAAAATATGAATGATATCTAGCCCTTTACTTTTTTAAAATATAAAAAATTCCAGTATTGTGAACATCTTTAAAACTTTGCATCATATCTTTTATTTTTCATTCCATCTCTATAAATAATTTCATCTAAACAACTGACTTTTCATTATTCTTTTTAATATTGATTACATTAGCTGTATTAATAATACATGAAATATTGGAATTAGATGAACTATTGGGAAATAATTAGGAATTAGATATACACTTTATAATAACTTCATTTGATGTGGCAGGTAAATAGTTTGTGATGTAAAAAATGTAAGAATGTAATTTGAATATCTTATTCCTGATTATTAGCATTTTCATAGATGATTAGAATTTATGTATATTATATATTTTATTTCAACTGCATTTTATTTGTTCTGAAGATTTAAAATGAAATGTATAGTAAAAGTATTTCTCTTCATACTCTTTTTTCATGCTCTGCTCATTCCAATGATTGGAAATTTCCTGTTTAGTAGATGTAATATATTTAATATCCTAAGAGGAATTCAAGTAGAAAGTTTGAAGGAAAGTAATTTAGATTTTTTAAAGGTTTAGGTTAAGGCACTGTTGAGTAAATCATTTCAAAATTTTTCTATATAGACTATTTTCAAAATTTGGTTTATATTGCATTAAATTCTTTTTCTTAATTATATTATTTCTTTCTTTGATTATACTATGCTGGCTATAATCAGTATATATATTTATTTTTATATAAATAAATATATGAGAAATACATTTCTTTGAAACTTTTAAAATTTTTTGTTTGAAATATATCATTTAACTAAAACTAATAAACATATGCTTGTAGAAAAAATGTCTTAAATGTATGATAAATGTTAATTTTACTGTTGAGTCTGTAGAAGTTATGAAATATTCAAATTTAAGAATTTCATAATATTTCATTTTAATATATGTTTTCTGCAAAAAGTATTGTAAAATATTTTTTTAGCATTTGATTTAAATATATCAGTATATTTGACTACTTAATTCTTAAGATAAATTTAAAAGTTCTTGTTTTAATTTTTATATTTTATTTATAAAAGGCAATAATATATTTTTATCATATTTATTAATTAATTTTTTTAACAAGATACTTTTCTATTTTTCTAATTCATTTGTTTTGCATAAAAATGCAGTTTTTAGGACAAATATTTTAAGGCTGTATGTAGTAGCTTATTATATGCGCATATTATCTTTTTATATATGATTATTACATTCATTACTGTTATTATAACAAAACTATTTAAATTTTCAACTAAAATGAAAAATTGACATTGAAAATATTTTCTGCCAAATGTATTTTGTTATTAAGAGATACATTCAAATAGTTCCAAAATCTGAAAATATTTTATCAAAAATATTAAACATTTGTGACTGTTTTATTTTCATTTTAAAACTATTTGAAATGATTGAAAGAGGCCATCATTTATAAACAGTTCAAGAAGTTATAAAACACATTTTAATTGTTATAAGTAAGTAAATAAATGATTTATGCATGTAAAAATTTCAGATATATATATATCTGAAATTTTTACATGCATGAATCATTTATATATATCTGATTATATATCTGATTTTCTATATATATAGAAAAGCATTATACACATGTATGTTCCTTAAAATAGTATGTTTTATCTTAAAATTATATTCATTCTTTCATGTTCACTATTTGTATGAAAAATATTTTAGAGTAAATATTATTTGTTTTATAATCAAAAACTTGATGGATGTCTTATTTTATTTAAATTCACAAGTGGTTTTAGATTTTATAGTTACTTCTGAGAGAACTGCTTTCTTAAAGTATTAATGATAAAAATTTACATAATATTGCATGATAATTTGCTTTTTTTTCAGTAACCACTTTCAAATTTTTATTGCATTTCTCTGGCTTTATTAATTAATAGGCCTGTAATTATCAATTTGTACACATTTTAAATGAACAATTGTGATAAAAGGTCAAGTATATGTTTGCAAAGTATATCTTATCTTGTCTATATAAATAGATTAATATTTGTAAAATGTATTTACTTGTGTTTTTAAACGATTTAATATAAAGCAGTTACATTTGAATATTTATGAAAAAATTAAATTTAGGGTCTGCCTATTTTTTTAGAATATAAATTTGTCTACTTTAACTTAATTCCTATAAATGATTGATAACAATAACTTCACTTTATTACAGCTCTTTTAATGTAATCTAATTTTTATATAATTATAGATTTTGTTAAAGCTCAACAGAATCCAACTATAACATTTATTACAAAAGAAAGAGTAGTTAGTATTGGAGATACAGTTGATCTGCAATGTTCAGTTCAATATACTGGACAGTATCCTGTAAGTTTTTAAATATTATTTTATGAAATAAATTGTTTAAGTAAATAATGAAGTCTAATATAATTTATTTGCTCTGAATTTTTTTATTCTTTAGTTTCTTCGATTATTTTAAAATAATTTTAAATATATTCTTTATGAAACGTCTTCATTAAGCAAGAAACATACAGATATCAATGAGATTTTACAAAATACAAAAGTCATTATGGCAAAATATAACAGTCTGATTTTATGAAATTAATTTTGTAAAATCAAACTGTTATATTTTGCCATAATAAAAACGTGTAAATTTATCTGAAAGAATAAATGTCATTATAAAATTTAAAAAATGCAGTCTTTCCTAATAATTCATGTTAAAATTGTTTAAGCAAAGATTTTACTCACTTTAAAAGAACTCATTACTTAGATTTGAAATGATTATTTTAAATAATACATATTTTAGCTAAAGGTAATATAAAGAATTAATATTGAGTGAAAAGTTGTTTATCTCTATGACTGGTTAATACTTACTTGCCAACCTTTAGTATGGGGAATAGCTAGAGCATTGGTAGAAAAATGCAAATTTTTGAATAAAAATACAAAGAGTGTAAAAAGTGAAAAAAATTATTTATTAACATTGATAAATTGCACAAGGTTTATATTAAATATCTTTAATAATCAAAATGTAATTTATCTCTGTATATGATATTTTATAAAGATCATAGACACTGTTAAGAATGAGATGTATGAATACACTGTTAAGAATTAGAGTATGGCAAAAGCTTTATACTCTAACATCACAATTTTAAAAAGGTCAAGTATTTTACAGGACACATCATAAATCTAAGTGTAGATTTATGGTGTGTTCCATGTTGATCTGTCAGGAGTCTTGATTTTGTTGCATGATGAGTGTGTCCTGCTATATGCATTTGTGCTTTGTTAGTGTTAGAATCTACTCATAACAGTTGCTATCAGTCAGTTTATTGACTTTCACTGCAGTTATTAAGGACAATGATTTTTCTGGTTGTGATTTATTTTCTCTCTCTGTCCTACTTTTTCTTATCATACAGAATATCTCTTTCATTTGCCACCTTGCAAGGCTGTATGGCAAAACCATCATCAGCCTATTTTACTATTTTATAAAGGTTACAAATCTTTATAAAATCTCACAAATCTCAAAGAAACATATGGTTTCTTTTCTTGATAAAGTTCATATCATAAGATCTGTATATTCTTAAGTGAATCAGATGTTTCTTCTTTTTGGGCAGAGAATCTGTAATGTTGCTCAATAATTTGGTGTAACTATAAAAGTAACTTGTTTCCTTCTGATGATGATTTGGCCATAATTGGTATAACTGCCGTCACTAACATTGCCAGACTTAAAGATGCAATTTATCACATCTACTATTTACAATTATCATATCTGAGCTAAAATTCTTATACCTATACCAACATACAATTACTGTATATAAAAATATCAATCTTTATTCTTTCCCAATTGAATCAATCTGAGAATGTCATTCTGGTTCATTTCAGTTGTTCATAATAAAATATTCTTAAAACATACAATATTGTCAGCATATATTATATATTGGTTTTAAACTTGTTAAACAAAGTGTTTATGTGAAAATATCAAATTCTTCAAAACTCTGACAAAAGGGAAAAGTGGCCTATCCACTAATGGAGCATACAAAATGCTGTTGGTCAGTGCCAAGTGCTGATGGTTGGCAAGTATATTAATAGATTAGAAAAATGTTGTGAACCTATGTGAACCTATGTTATGAGACAGATGTCTCACAACATAGGTTTGTCAGACTAATTAGGACTGTATGAACCCACCCATTAATAAATACTTCTATACTGTGTGTGTAAAGCCCATTGCACACCAAATCTGCATATAGGTAATGCTTATTGCACAGCACTTTTTATACCTATACTAAATACCTGTTTTTTTCCTTTGATATATCACCAGCATGTGATTGTTTATGCTCTATAGTGCTTTCCAATTTTTTAAATACCAAGAGTCTTCACTTGGGTTTTATCACCTTGGTATAATTAGAAAAATGAATAAATTCAACTTTTCTCTATTACAGTCACTATGAGAAAGAATAAAAATTTATAAAAATTTAAAAAACTAAAATTCAAATCTTATATTGTTTCAAAAACAAAACTAAAACTGTTTTCAGTAGTTTTAGTAAAGTAAAACTACACTAAATTTTAAACCTCAATTTTGTAAATATTTGAGATATGTTATTCCTATGAAAGAATAGTATAGTATTTGAATTACTTTGAACAAGTGTTATTTGCTGTGTGAAAATTACATTAACAGAATATTTAGTATTACAATAAAAAAAATTTTTTCTTTATTTCAACAATATATTTGTACTTTTTATGTAAAATATTTAAAATTATAATTTAGGTTATATGGGTAAAATTGAATAAAGAAAGTCCTGGCAACAATGTGTTCCTATCATCAGGTGGTAACAAAATAGTCCCAGATGCAAGAATATCAGTTCGTCATGATGATGCCAGCAGTACTTATACTTTACAGGTACAGTATACATTTTTAAAATTTATATATTGTATAATTTTGTCAGGAAATAAGTATTAGTATCAAAATTAACATGAAGAAATCTTTCATAATAGCAGTAATAAAATAACTATTCGCGTTTTTCATGAACTATAGAGGGCGGTGCATTTTTACAAAATGTCTAATTTATCTGGGTTGCTTATATATTACTGTTCAATATAATGATATATGCTGCTTGTAGCTGTTTATTGAGAAATGATGATATCTAGCAATAATTGTTATCCTTTATAGAAGGAGAACAATTATTGCTAGCAAGATACATCATTATGTGGTATTGAAACAAATGAGCAAGATCATTCTATACATATTTGTTCCCTTTGTGTTAAAAAAAACATCAGTTTTGACATTGTCTTATCAGGCCAGATTTACCAGTTAAAAGCTATGTAAGTTGTTGCTTAGGGCCTCAAACATTTGTACAGAAAAGAAAATTGAAGTCAAATTTTGTAATAAAGATTTTTTACAAACCAACAAAATATACTTTACTTTTTATTTTGTGTAGTATTTCATTAATTTTTTTTTCTAAGAATTAACATAAGATGTTTTTAAAAAAAAATTGACAATTTTAAAAAAGATTTTTAAGGAAATGGGTATAAAAATTTAATTAAATTTAGTTATAAAACAGAAGATTAGTGAAACCTCATGTCTTTTTCTTCCAATATCCATATTAAATCATAGACATAGTCTGATTTAATTCTTTTCTTTTTATGATTGACTTCTAAAATTGTAAAGTGTTGGTAAGGGGTTGTAAAGAGTTCAGCTTATATCTTTGAAATGCTTAAATCTGACCCTGTGTCCCACACAAAATTACTGGCATTTTAAACTTTAAGAAAATATGTTTTAAAATTGACAGCATAACTTGTTCATGTAAAGCTGGACAGTTGGGTGCCAATTCTTAACAGTCTAATCCACTCATTCAGTATTCAGAGAAGCTCATAAATATAACCAACCGATTTCCAAATCATCTGCTTTTCACGTGGGAATAGATAAAAACTTATATTAGATTCCCGTAAGGCTTTGAAATTGCAATTTGGAATGCAACAGAAAGCTTTGCTTTTTCTATTGTTATTCATCTTTACTGCTGATAATATACAAGAATTAGTATTACCAACTGTTTGGTTTTCACCCGAACAGTTTGAGAATTGACTCACTTTCCAGGTAAACTATTAATTTTGTTCAGGAATTTCATAGAAATTGTGAAATTATGATGAAACAAAGTTCTTGCAAATAGTTTTACAAATTTACACTATTTTAACAGTGAAAGAACTTGCACTCACTGAAACTCATCTGCAATTCTGCCATGTTAGAGTCTGTTTATGCTGACGTGTAGTGTTGCAACACCTGTTGACCTTTTTTTTATTGGTTGTATGATTGTACACGTCTCAAATAGAGCTAAGTTATCTGTACCCATTCTTTCTTCATTTAGGTTACTTATGTTACTCCTCTGCAAGTCCCTAGTCCCTAACTGTAACTGACTTAGAACCAGCATGTACATTATTCTTCACATTGTAAAATGACATTGCGCATGCATCAGGAACTTATGTTCGAACAAACTGACATGCCGTCAGGGTCAACGATTTTCAAAAGGTGCATCACTAACAAGAATGAATCAAACGACCCAAATAGAATAGTTTTGTTTTTAAACACCAGAGGGTGAGCATTCGGTGAAAAATGCAAATAGTTATTGAAGTAAAACAAGCAAGCTTCCTTGGCAGTGACTCAAATTGGCAAATAATTGAAACAAATTTTTTGAAGTAATGATTTGACTGATTTGAACAAAATATTGCACATTATTAGAAGTAACAAGTGAAACTTCAAAACCGTATTTGGGACAAGACTATGTCTCGGAGACGGAATCACTTTGATGCGCAAGGCAGGTCACGTTCTCATTCTCCTACCTTCTTTGATATCACTGCTTTTGGGCACGATCATTCAAACTTTGCCGGCCATGACCATGAGATCGTGCACAATGCATCTTTGATGAAATTAACCTATCTAATTTCAAAGTTTCTCTCCGTTGTGTGTCGGCCCGGGTTGAATTTTTGTCGATGCATAATGAAAAGCTCTCGTTTTTGAAAAAAAATAATCGTGGCTATTGTATTGTCCGAAATTATTTTTTATTTTGCACAAACAATATACAGTTTAACCTGATTATAATGTCATCGAATGTAACGACAACCCTAATATAATGTCAAATTTTCATTGGTCCTACGATTTTACTATACTAGATAATATTAAAAAATCCACTCCCAAATTTACAAAATTAGATTACAAATTTTATTTAACATAGAAGAAACTACATGTTCAGTCTTAAGGTCAGAGTTTACTTCTTAGAATGACTGTGGGTGGTACTTTCCCCTACCTGACTTCGGTGGGGTGAGGTGGCTGTTTTGCCTGTTTGTAGAAGAGGGTCGCCATTTTGTATTTTATTTTGACTCAATTCTTGGTCCCTTACTACCTACAAGTCTGGATTTTTTTTATGCTCAAATGATTTGGGTACCTAATACTCTGTGTCAAATATCAACTCTCGACATGTACTCCTTCATACCTCTATGCTGGTAAGAGCATCAGGCAGTACGATTTTATAAACAAGACATAATCTTGTGAATAAAATAGTGTGTCATGACTGAGGGAGAATTTTAAAATTCAGTCTAGAATGGGAGATATTGGGGGTCAAATGTCATCCCCATGTTAAGTCTACAGGAAAATTTTACATTGTAAAAACATAAACAAACATGCATGTGCTACTTGACATTTGAAATAGTGAAATTCTTGCCAAATTTTCTTTGAATACTGATCTACTTTTTCTAATTTTCTCAAAAATTGATCATATATACATTAACCTATATACAGTGGAATCCTGGTTAACGAACGTAATTCGTTCCATGACTCCGTTCGTTAACTAAAGCAATTTTTCCCATAGAAATAATGCAAATGCAATTTATCTGCTCTAGCCTCCAAAATTTTTGTGATTTTATTTGTAATATACAGTAGATTTTCTTTGATGAAAATGTAGGAAAACATAGTATCTATCATTACAGCAATAAACATGTAAACTTTATTTAATAAAATAGCACTGTACATACCTTCATTTGTTGTTGGTGGCAGAAAAGTGGAGATATACGAAATCTTCCCCAAAAAAGTAACGTGTAACACTTCATTGTGAGATTCTTCAAGTCAAAGTCATTTTTGGTAAGGAACAAGAAATTGATCTAAACATTGATTGTCTTACTCTTTTTAATCAAAATTTTTCTCAAATGAGATAGCGCATTGTCGTTTTCTATTGCCACTATGACTTTTCTCTTTCTTGGATGAAGATCTCTTTTCTCTTTCCATATTGATTAAATATATAAATCACAAAACTGAAAAAAGAAGTTTTGCACAAACAATCAGAAAAGCAATGCTTAACTCGCGCATGCCTAACACCAACTAAAATTTGACACAAAATACCGTTAGGTTTGTTATCCGAATTTCATCTATTATCCGAGACAAAATTTTTGCAGAATAAAAGTTTGTTAACCAATTTGGTCGTTAACCAGGACATTCGTTAACCGGGGTTTCACTGTATATTAATGTATTAAACCTTGCATGATGATAACTTATCAGAGTGATAACTTCCTTTAAATTTAGTGTTCCCTAATAATCTAACATTAGTATCATCAAGTTTTTATTTAGTCAACTAAATAAAAACTTGATGATAAAAATTGCCAAGTGACTGAAAATAAATACGATAATAATTTGTGTTTGAATTACTACTAATAACTACTAGCACGGTTTCAAAGTACCAATCTAACATTAGTTTCACAAGCCATCACTGTGCTTCAGCCAGGGACAAAGTTCTCCTAGTTGTATAAATAGTAAATTCATTAAAGAATAGATTTTTATGGCAGTTGCAATGATTGCTTCTTGTTTACATTGTTACTGATATTTAAATTATTCCTCTAAATTGTGTAATATAAATTTAATTTATCTACATTTAAAATGATTCTTAATTTGAATGTAATAAGGAAGATTTCTGTCTAGAATTGTAGAAATAGATAATTATCAAATATATTGTTTTTCAATAGTATTAATATTTATTAAATTAAAAAATTAACAGATAAATTTGGTATTCACTATGGATTGTTATCAAGTGTTTGGTAAAATACATTGTCAGCAGTAATAAATAATAGGTGTGCCTATTGTAATATCAAACTAATGATAATTTGATAAATTGGGAAGCGTTAAAAAAACTTCCAGAGTTACATTCTGATGATCAGGTTTTATAAAAAAAAAAAAAACACTCAGTGATATCTTCTACTTTGAATGTTCCAGAATTCAGACGCTACATTCAATGGAAATTTGTTCTAAGTTCGAATGATGCTTGTAAGTTCAAATTTTGTGCACAGTGAAACAAATGTGTTTATTGAGTAAATACTATCTGTTGTATGCCCACATCATCTCTTGCTCTTGTGTTTTCAATGCTTTTTTTGTTTTATTTTTGATGTATGTGTTATATACACTCATTGCCATAAAAATTAGTGTACCAAGAAGTTGTCAGACTTGTATATGTGTGAGTGTAATGGTGATATAAGTAAGTGATTACAAAATGAAAGCAAAAGGATCATTTATTGCAGGAAAAACTACAAATGAAAGGAGGTTCTAGTACCTGTTGGGCCACATGTTGAATACACATTGTGATAAGGGTGGGCATGGAGGCATACAGGTGGTGTATAGTGTCCTGCAGTATTTCAATCTACAGTTGTTGCAAGTGATCCTCTCATTCAGCCAAACTCCTAGGCTGTCCATCTTGTCCCTGGTGATTCCAGATACATTCAATCAGTGGCAAATTGGGACTAGGCAGGACAGGAAAGTGTGGCAATATGGCACACTTTCCTGGCCTTTGACACTTGCTGTGTGTGGTCAAGCATTGTCCTGTTGGAAAATGGTTCTTGAGAGCCTTGCCATGAGAAGTAACACATGCGGTGGCAGGATGTCACTAACATAATGCTAGGCTGTCATGATCCCTTTATTCACTACTAGAGGTGACTTGCTGTCATATGTGATGGCACTGCAGGCCATCACACCAACTGTGAAAGTGATGTGTCATTCCAAAGTGTAGACAGGATTGAGGCATTCATCACAGGGCCTCCAGACATGAACACGGCTGTCATCAGTGCCCAGACTGAATCTGGATTCGTTGCTGTAGACAACCTAGTTTCATTCTGTTGCAGTACAATCCCATCGAGAGCAACATCACTCCAAACAGAGGCAACAGTGCTTAGCTGCCAATGGGAGCACATGTAATGGCTGCCATGATACCAAATGTTTCTTACCCAGGTGCTTCAAAATGGTATGGACAGACACAGGACCTGTAATGATGGTGCCACCTGTGTCTGGATGGCAGATAACGATATGGTCAGATGTGTGGTTGCTTGTTGGAGGAGGACCAGGTGGTCCTCTTGAGGGCATCCTGAGCCTGGGTGCTGTGTGTGTGTGAGCTCTCTCTCATCCACTGAGTATTGTCAGAATGGCCTAGGTGACAGGCTATTTGGTGAGATGACCATCAGGCTTCCCTTAACTTGATGATCCTTCCCCTCTCAAACTTGATTAGTTGTTCTTATGGCTTTTGTGCACTTTTTTTTATAGGTCAAGGGGATGCACTTTAATGCTCTCTGCTGACAGTACACAATGAGCCATCATGCTATAACTCTAATTATTTCCATATCTACTTGACAGTTATCTATGTGCTAAGTATCGCAGCAATACAACAACTCCTTCTTGGTGTGATAATTTTTATGGCAGTGAGTATATATTGTATGTTATAATTTATTCAAACAATATATGATAGTTTTAAATTTTAAAACTAGTCTACACATCATAGAACTTTCCAATGTTCTAAGAATGCAATATGTTATGTTGAATGTAAATTTGAAGTTTGTAAATCAGTCCAAAAACATTTGTCTATTCATGAAATATTGTTTCTGGGAAGGAAAATGGTTGATCTTTTTTAAAATTAAATCTTCTACTATATTTTTTTGTGTGACGTTAAGTTCTAAATGAAAAACACATAATTACATCTATACCTAAATAATTTTTAATTGTTTTATAAAGAAAACTTTATAAATGTATGGAGAAATTTAAGAAAAGCATGTAAATTAATGAGATATTTTTAAAATGGTTACATTGCCAGCAATGGTATTTTTAGATAAAATGATTTCCTGGTGTTTATATTGTTATAGATGATAATTTTGAATTTGTGTATCTGATAGATTACAAAACTTCAAGAAATAGATGCAGGAGAATATGAATGTCATGTTTTAATTGGAACCAGCAATAAAATTTCTGCAACTGTTTGGGTTCATGTAAGAAGTAAGTAAATATAATAATAATAATAATAATATAGCTTTTATGACACTTTATATTAAAATTTTAAATATAAAATTTTGTTACAGTCTCACCAGTTATAGCTGATAACAGTACTAGATCAGTAATAACAAGCATTGGTAATAATGTAACATTGCAGTGTTATGCTCATGGTTATCCTAAACCTAGTATTTCTTGGAGAAGAGAAAATAATGACTTACTCCCAACTGGTGGAGCAGTATATTATGGAAATATATTAAATATATTTAATGTTAGTAAAAATGATCGAGGAACTTATTACTGCATAGCTGATAATGGTGTTTCAAAAGGTGCTCGTAGAAATATAGGAGTGGAAGTAGAATGTAAGTTATTCATTTTAAGTATTATTATTAGCTATTTTATTTTGGATAGTCTTTTATAGATCATTTAAATTAATTAATCACAAATAACAATGTAGGAAATTATTTTATTGTATTATTTGTGAAACTATAATATGTAATGCTGATATAATTAATTAATATTCAGTTAACCGATATTATTAAATTTTATATTATAATGGTGATAACTTCAATATTTTCTGTCTGAGGTTAAAATAAATTTTTAAAAATTAAATTCTAGTTTTTGATGAATAGTTTGAAATGCTTTGAGTTTATTTTATTAATATTATGATTTCTGAACTAATCTGAATTAATCTAATTCAATTATTTACTGTCATTAGTAATTTAATATTTCTTATGTTTAATTATGTAATAACTATAAAATTTATATATATTAAGTATTTATTGTATATTTGAATAACTAAATTTGTATCTATATACTTTATTTGATACTGTATTTATAAATTTTTGATATGGGATGAGCTTTTGTAATAATAACTGTTATGCTAAAATAATTTAATGTACTATTGTTATGAATTAGTAAATATTGTATTGTTTTCTAAGTACTATAATAGGATTGTTCTTTTAACATTTTAACTTCTAGAAGGCACTATATTTAATGTTTTCAAATTTCATTTGTTTGGATGGCTATTTGTATATAAATTTTGTATAATTAAAATTAATTCTAACAAACTGCAAATTCAAACTTTTAAGAAACTATTTGTTCATGAAGTACTTTCCTACTTTTTTCTCCCCCTTAAATGGTGCAGATATATATTGTTTTTTCATAGTAAAAAACATTAAGATGACAGTTTGAAATTGAAAAATTATCAAATAAAAAATATTTTCAAAATTAAAAAGAAACAACAATTTTATTTTTATAATTTTTCCAAAAAATTCGTTAATTTATGTTATATTTCTTGCATGTAAATCATTTATATTATTTCTTTAACTTGTAATTCAGTAAAACTAAAATAAATTATCTGTAATGCATGTATTTATTACAGTCTAAGCAAATCAATTAATTAAGTGATGCCTGGATTGTGGCAATTACAATTCAGAAGTTTTTTCTAGTATTTATAAATTTGTATTATGCAACCTGATTATCATAGCATCATTTTAGTTACTGTGAAGAAATACAATCTTTTGAATATATAAAAGAGTAATCTGGAATTTGATTTTCTTTATCAATCTTCTTTTCTAAATATTCATATTTTACTTTAAGTAAATTTGATCATCAAGCATTTCAAAAAATCTGATTTTATAAAAATTTCTGAGTATTGAAAATTTATTATTTAGAACTTAATTAATCAATTTTAATTTTCTCTTTTATCTCCTGTTTAACAAATATTTATGCAAAGTGTGATAACATCAATGCATATTCATATTTCATACTATAGTACTAATATAATATTTTGATTGTCAATAATTTTTAAGTATAGATTTTATAGATGTTAGTTACATATTCAATTAAATTCTATTTAATTTCAAACTAGTTACTTAAAAAATTTGGTCTTCTGAATATTGTAAACTTAGTATAAATATTTAACATTAGAATACCCAGACTAATCCTATTCCCAACAATGCTTGCTACAGGTCAATTGACCTCTTGTTTTTTTCATTTTTGCTCTTTTTTTTATCATAAAATGTTGGTATTCTATGTTTCTTGACTTGTCTTGTTTTAATCAGGTTTTCATGTTCCTTAATACAGTAAAAAAAATTTTTAAGAAAAATATTTTTATTCACACACACTCAGGGATTGTGCTGACATGTTTTAAAGTTCTTTTTTTCATACTTAGGCATATACCTAAATACAAAGCCTTCATTGCTGCATCTGCCTTAGTACAGCAATGAAGGCTTCTTTAGATCTCTTCTAGTATTCTTTAGATCTCTTCTGGGCTCAAATACCGTGAACTATCTTTGCACATAATGCAGGCCTTCATTTCAGTGCATTTCTTTATAACAGGCAACTTTGGATCACTAATGAATAGGCAAAATGCACTGGCTGGAGACTCTTCTTTCATGTAACATATTGCATGTCCTATAGGACTAGCATTCTCTCAAAGGATACTTTGCTGACTTCTCCTAACTTGTCTTTTTTAGAGGTGCAATGTGTATCCATTGTGTCTCATCAATGCCAAATGCCTGACCATTGATATCTTGGGCCGTATTCTGGTCACTGTCTCTGGTGTCTCATCTCTCACAAGCCGGTCCCTGATTGGCTAATCCAAATGATTAGCCAACCAGTGACTGGCTTGTGAGAGACAAGAGACCAGAGACTGTGACCAGAATATGGCCCCTGGTCTTTCTTGAAAATGATTTTCTAGAACATCTGTACTGTTGGAACAAGATAAAATACAGAGAGACCTAAATAAACTAGTTTAAAGAGGAAACGTATTTCTCAGAATAATGTTATCTACAATATTTTCATTATCCTTTCTCTCTTTCTTCAGTGGTGACACATGCAACTTACCTGTGTGCAAATACATCACCTATGTATATGAGACAAGAAACACATTCATCATGAAGACCCAAGCAAAAATAAATGCCTCCCAATTGTAGAATTTACAAAAATTTAAAATATTATATTATTTCTACATATTATCTTGACTGGAAAATTCTATGTTCTTGTATACTTCTTTTCTTAAAGCTTTTAGATTGTGACATGATTTAATTTTTCATTTCCAACAACTGTTTTACATTTAACAGATAAATCCTACAAATTAAAAATGAAACACATGTAACCTAGCAATAAATATATATACATGTTTAATTGCCAATTTACCTTCATTCATATGTACTTTTACATTAGTTTTACTTAGGATTATCTTTTCTGAACTTCTGTTCATTTATTAAGCATCAAATATAAAAGAAGAGTGAATTTAAATCAAAATATGAATCTATCCAAATATTGTCCATACTGTCTAACACTAATAATGGAGTACACCAAGCAATATTGCCACATCTTTAAGACAAGAATTGTACATGTTTTTTTCTACATCCCCTTAAAGAAGGGACATACGAAATCGTAATATCACTGGTTTAACATTGAAATCTGTGAGTAATATAAAATCAGAAAGCGGAATAAAAATATCAAATATTTTAATGGATTTTTTAAAACTCCTGTCTATTCTTCAAATAAACAACTATCTACAATTAACCAGTAACCGGTGCGAAATTCTTTAAAATTGCCGAACGTTTTCGATTCCCCTCCTGGGATCTTCTTCAGGCTTACTTTTTATACCTTTCGTTATAACTGGATTCTTTAATTCGAATGTTTTTTAAAAAATATGGAACGTGCCATTATTCGAAAAAATTTCAAAAGTGGAAGGAATCACATGTTATTTCAAATATAATTTTCTACTAATGGGGATTTGTTCTGTGCAATACCTCATAAAATTTATCTTATAAAATATATTATGATTTATCGTCAATTAAAAATTGCCATGCTGCAGAGAGATTTACTTCTTATTTGAAATTAATGCATGTGGATTTGTGATCGGCTTTAAAGATTTCCACTGCCTCCAAAGTTCTTAGTTGCCCCTGGTGTTGGGTGGTGCGAATAACATGCGCTTCATCGAAGATAGGTGTGATGCCCGGGTTTGTTGCATACGTAGATAGGGCCGTTGTACATTTATTATGTTCAATGTCTGATTTATGCTCTTTTAATCTTGTGGCCAATGAACGTTTGGTGGATCCGATGAGGTATTGCACACAATGAATCCCCATTGGTAGAAAATTATATTTGAAATAACACGTGATTCCTTCCACTTTCGAAATTTTTTCGAATAATGGCACGTTCCATATTTTTTAAAAAACATTCGAATTAAAGAATCCAGTTATAACGAAAGGTATAAAAAGTAAGCCTGAAGAAGATCCCAGGAGGGGAATCGAAAACGTTTGCCAATTTTAAAGAATAATAGTGCGGTGTAAGTAG